ATCAATATATTATTTATAAAATATCAAAATTTTAGATGATTTGAATTACTAGTTGTTGAAAATATTTATATATATTTAATACAAACAATATTTTATAATAACAATAAATATTAAGTTTTAAAAAATAATCTTGTATATTAATTATCTCAAAAATAAGAAATCAAAATCAGCTCAAATTTTAATATTTTATAAACAATATATTGATTTATTATATACTTAAATTTTATTTAATTTGAATCATTAGATATTTAGAAAGTATATTTTAAAAACTTTAACTAAAATCTAAAATCTAAAATATTTATGCATTTACGTTTACATACATATCTCAGCTTATATTGATTCAAATTAAATGAAATTTTAATATATTATAGATTGAGATTGTATCAATAATATATGAAAATTTGAACTAATTCTGATTGGATCAATGCATCTTGAGATATACGATGTCAAACTTAGTATTCAGAGACTTTTAGCTACTCTTTGTATATAAAATTAGCAAAAGTTACTCATTTTTTATATTAAAAATTAATTTAAAAAAAAAAAAATAAAAAAAAAATATTTTTTTTCAAAATTTATTTTGAATTATTAACATAATTTGTAAAATATTCAGGATTTATTAATATTTCTTGCCTGAATTTATCAACTTTTTAGTATATATGCTAAGACCTATTAATAATAAAATTTTAATATCTTTTCTTGAAGTTTCACATGCTTTTAAAAAAAAGTTCAATTTCAAGTTTTAAATTATTACCAAATTTATTACCTAATCCAACAAGAAGATAACAAAATCCAACAGCAGTTTTTTTTTTATTATCAAAATTTTTTTTTTGATCTTCTTTTAAGATTTAATACATTTACAAATTCTTTAAAAAAATCTTCTTGTAAATGCAGTTCTTAATTTTCAATCAAAATACATAACTATCTGGATTTAATTCTAAAGGAAGATTTTGCTTTCTTTGCATATCTCAGAGAACTTTAGTTAAAAGCTTTAATTGTTCTTCATAGTTAAAATCTAATAAAATCAATTAAATTAATATATCTAAAAAATATTATTGTGATATATAAAGTGGTATATTTATTTCAGTAATGCATTTGACAAAGTTAATCATCAACTTTAATTAATTAAATATATTAAATATTTTTTTTATTTTAGATTTTCATATGCAAGCTTAGTAAAACTGATCACTTTTATTATAATTATGTATTGCATAAGGTCTATAATTTGGTAAAGTTCGCGTTGCTTTTGTAAAAAAAAATAAATCACAGGATTTTATAATTTTGGTAAAGATCAGCAACAAATTTCACCAATCACAGAAAGCTTTACTAATATCACATGATATTACATCGGTAATATAAACATTTCTAAACAAACTCTAAACTCCATTGTAGATATATAGATATATATTACTTATAAGATGCTTGATAATTCATATCTGGTAAATATGTTCGATCTGCTTATAGACTTTCATTTCAAAGATCTTCATGAAACAGTTTCTAAAGAACTTAAAGTTAAATATTTATCAGAGTCTTAATACATAGAATTAAAAGAAATTAATGGCATGATATTCGATCCTAACCTAAGAGTTATTATTTCTTTGCTGATTACAATAAAAAAAATAAAAAATGTTCATTTTTTAATCAATATAAGATCTCTGAAAACGTACATATGTGAAGAAATATACAAATCCTTTAAAATACATGTATCTCATCAGCTATTATTAAATAATATACATACAATCATTTACTTGCCTTCCATTAATTCACACTTCACAGATGTCAACATTTTAGGAATGGAATACTTGAAAGCTTCTGGATCAAATCTTAGCATAGCCATCACCAACGATTATAAAAATATTTCTTTATACTTTGATTATGATAAAAATGAAATTATATCTCAATTAGAAAGTATTATTCAAGTAGATCCTGATATTCTAAGCAAAGTATCTGGACTTGTTTTACTTGTTACAATTGTTTAGTTGTTATTTTTAAAAAAAACCTGGTTCTTTCTTTTGATCACAATTATATTCTTATCTTACAATATATACAAATGGATTTGAAAGTTTTATTTGCAAATTTTAAATTATATACATTAATTACGAGTTACATTATTATTGGTTGGAAAATAATAAAAAACAGAATTTTCAATTAGCTTGCTTTATTTCAAGTTTTAAACTAGTTAAACCTTCTACCTCTTCTCTTATTATTTTCTTCTCACTATTTCCTTTAATGCTTTTTTCCTCAATAGTTAACTTTAGCTTGTAATATAAAATGCTTATAAATAAAATTTAATAAAATCATGCTTGAAATTACCAAGATATATGTATCTTAGAAAATCTTTGCAAATATTATTGAAATTTTTACTCTATTAGCTTTACACTAATATTTACCTTTTTATTCTATTAAAACATGAAAGAATTCCTTTAAATGAGAGCAGAATTCTACAGCATTATATGCACAAGTAAGATTTAGATATATTTTTTCTAACACTGAACTAACATATCTTCTGAAGTTTTGCAAATAGGTAAGTAATGAAACAGCATTCATTTCATGTCACAATATGGAAAAGTTTTGTTGAAAAAATACTGGAAATGAAACTTAGCAAATGGTAAGCACATACCTTTCTGCCATTTTTCTTCTTCCGGTCATAGATTCGAAAAAAGAAATAATCTTACTATCTTTGTAATTGTGAAACGTGAATATAAGGAAAGGGGTTACTTTAGTAAACCCTACGGTCAAAAAGGAAGGCACAATATAGTATAAGCGTGCGTAACAAAATCAGTAGAATAATATATGTCAATGAGTTAAAAGACAGGCTGTATGTTAAAATAGAAGCAAATTGGATAGACTTTAATATGAATTACGGGCAAAGTCTCACACTTGTATTTATTCAAATAAAAAGCTTCCTTCAATTAACTTTTCACATATGGATAATAAGTAGTAATGGACCAATTCCTATTAATTATGTATACTAATAATATAGGAGGTTTGATATTAAAAATCATGTTCAGATCATATGTAAATTTTACATAGCATCGCCCTGAAAAAATAGTAGCCGGATTTATTTGCCGGTTAGGTTAGGATTAGAGTTAGGTTAAGGGGATTAGGGTTGTGTATATGTCACACAGCATCACTTCCTGACTGTTCTTCAATTTTATAATTATTCTGGGTACTTATAATAGGAAATATGCTAATTGTCACCATTATTTGTCACACATTAATAGTGTATGTGAACCGGCAAAATAAATCCAGCTACCATTTTTTCGGGGCAACGCTAGGGTTGTTTGTCTATTAACCTGATTTTAATAACATTCTGATCGTTAGAGGGCATGCGTATTAATGCAGGGCAATTTAGGGACGAAATCTTAATTCGTGATCTGTAAGTTGGATTGTCAACGAAGATCCAGGTTTTGCAACAATCACAGCGGGTCCCTAGTGAATGGAAAACAAGATAGGTGCGTCAACCTCGGGATTCTCGATTCAATGATTAAAGTAATTTCGGACTTTTTTGCTTTAGCCTCGAATTTCAAGAAACATATAAGTGGGAATAGGTGGGAATAAGTACCTCTGGTACAAACCATGGCCAGTGAACCTTTAACAAGCATTTCTGAGACTCAAGCAGTCATACCGAACCTTTCAAACTTGAAGTACTTGAAACCAAAAGGTTACCTAATGAGAGAGAAATTCCGAAACTCAATCCTTGTAGTCTTTGCCAAAGAGCAATCCTAACATTTCGATTTCAATCGTTCATTGTGATGGATTGCGAACACCTAATGTCTTGAGATGTACATTATGCGAACAGGAACAAAATATCCAATGTGTAATCTCAATCGAGAAGAAATTCATCGAGACAAACTTCCCCAAGAATCACCCGAGAACAGAGGATGAAGAGTCTGAGGATTTGATCTCGCAGATTTTAGCCTGATTATTCCAAAAAAGCAATTAAGGCCGAAAAACGAGTTACTCTGGCTTACCAGGAGGAGATTCGTTGTACTACTATGCGGAAAAAACGTTAGAAATAATGATAGTAAGTATAAGGATCAACAGGTTAGAATATACAATGAAATATTAGGTCATATCACGTGTTACGAGAGAAAATTTGCGCAAGAAACGCAAAAGGCAAGAAATATTTCGAGTCAGTGTTGAATATTTATTTAATTGGGCATATAAACTTATATATGTCCAAATCAAACACTGATTATGTTGGAGCTTTATGGCAAGACAGGTGTATACCGAGGTACGTTAACTCTGATTATTTATTATTATGTATTCAATAGGCAAAATACTAACTTTATCATATTTTTATATTTTGTGTTGCCATTAGTGGCGAAGTTGAAAACAAACATCGAAAGTGCAACTGGATTTGAGACGATCGAAAGTTATCGGATGGTTTCACGATGGTATATTTACAATCGATATTAATGGAATTGAAGTATATGTAGGGATTTTAGAAGTTGCCGGAAATGCTGTGGTAACTGATCATACTAAATTTCTAGGGGATCAGAAGAAAATGTTAAAAGGCAATGCGTTTGGCTTTTCATGAATTTCAGAAACTTTATATAATGACGGTAACAATCTTTCTATAATCTCCTTTACCACCATTATGATGACAACATGACGATAACAACTGCGGTTTAATTTGTTTATAAATCAGGAAATAAATAAGCACAAAACTAAGCTATTCTTTATCTGGTTACGCTCACGTGATATATTATTCTAATCAATAGAATAAATATTTTTTACATTATTACTGACCTTGCAATTCTCGTTTGAAAAGTTACATTAAATAATTAATAGATTATATAAAATGAGTTGAATCTTGCATTGAACAAGAAATGGAGTCAGAGATATTTAAAATCAAAATCGTGACTGGCAAACATTTTACAATTAAACCAAAATATTTTAGATTGTAACTGGAATCATTTTTTTGCTTTTTAACAATAAATATTTATTTTAAATTTTGTAAAACTTAAAAAAATTTATTATTTCAAAATATTTTTATAAATTGGAAGTTCCAGAGATAAAGAACCATTTATCAACTAAAAAAGTAAGATAAACCACAAGAATTAGAATATTATATATTTAAAAAGAAATTTAAATTATTAAATTAAAAAATTTTTTTACTTGAAGGATCAATTGGAGCAGCTTGTTTTCTTGATTCAGATGGAATGGATTGATAAAGTGGGTCATCTACCGTTATTAGACCAGGGCTCCCCTCGATTGTCAAATTGTTACTATATAATACAAATAGAAAAAAATTTTAATAATGCATAGATTTTGCTTTTCAACAATTTATGTAGAGTTATTATGTACATGTTAAGTTCGTATTTATCAGTTTTATTTGGGATTTGTCCAGTGATTAGACGACGCCAGGCTTCATGCGTTTCATGAATAATTTCAGTGGCATATTTCTAAATAAAAAATTTGATATTTTAATAAATTTTCATTTTCCTTTAAAAAAAAAAAATCAACTTTCTCATCTAACCTTATTTTTGGCTTCACCGCTAAAAGCGAATTGATTTTCAGGCTTTCCATCTGGAATTTTATAAATACGAAACCATTCATTTGTTGCACGAATGAGACCAGGCAAATGTCTCTCAACATCTTCAATATCTATAAAGGTCCAAGAATAGAATTAATAACAAACTCTATTGAACAGTGTATTGAAATATTTATATTTTTATGAAACTTCTAACCATTCAATCTATTTGCCAAAGGATCGTTGACATCGATAACAATAACTTTCCAATCAGTTTCACCTAGATAAAATTTCTGAATTAATTAGATTCGATAGCGCACTTGAATAAAAAAAAAATTGTTATAAACCTTTACAATTTACCCTCATCCAAAAGAGCCATTATTCCAAGAACCTTTACTTGCTTGACTTGACCGGTATAACCGACTTGTTCCCCAATTTCACAAACGTCAAGTGGATCATTATCACCTTTTGCCTTGGTTTCAGGATGATTTTGCGTAGGATCTTCCCATGTCTAATATAAAAGGTATGTCAATGCGTACATTATATAGACACTCAATTTGTAAGAAATTTATAAGATTTACCTGGGGGAAAGCACCATAATTCCAGATATAACCATGATGAGGGAAGCAATTGCGAACGTAACGAAGTTTACCTTTCTTAACGTCTTGTTTTATTGGATTAAGTAGTTCTTCCTTAGAAATCTGGTGGATGTCAATTCAAAGATATTATTGTTAATAATAGCATTGATAATTCATTGATTGATAAATTCCACATACCTCCATTTTAGAATTTGTCCACCTGGGAATTTCCACGACAAAATTCAAAATGGATTTGTTCTCATTTGCAAACAAAGGAATATCATGCCATGGAGAAACAATTTGGCCATTTCTTTCTAGTACAGCAAAATTAATTTATTAATTAAAAAAATTTTCATGATACGCTATATCACCACCTATCACTTACCAATGTATATACGGTGTTCTAAAGTATTTGGAGTACCAACTTTTCGAGTTGTATATTCAGACATTTTCTTAACAGAGGAAAAAAGCCGAGGGGTAAATAAAATTTTTGTTTTCGAATGAAAACGTAGGATACCAAAACCGAATGCCAGCTTTTATGCGTAGATATACATGAAACTTTCTATTGCTTTTTTTTATCGGTTTAATGTTACACGCAGATAATATAGATAATCTCAAAAAAATAGGGGGTTTTCATGTTTTTAATTTGGTAATCCAGTTAGGTCTATTTTAAAATATAGCTTACTAATCCTATTAAACATACTAATCCTATTAAACATATCGTAAATCGATCTCACGTGGAATTGGATAGTTCATTTGATAAAAAATAATTTTGCAAATCGGAAAATAGCATGATACCTCAATACTATGTACCGTATATTGCGGGCCATAGTATCTCCCCCATGTATTGTATCTAGGGATGGGGACGACTCTAACGGTTCGGTTCCGGTTTTGAGAGACGAACCGAGTCGAACCGAACCGAACCGATAGAGCGGTTCTAAATAAACGGTTCTGAGTGGCACTCGGAACCGAACCGACCGAACCGGCTCTGATAAAATAAAATTATTTAAAATCAAATAAATTTTTATTAAATTAATTATAAAATATTATTGAATAATTAC